CGTGGTCGTATGGCGAGGAGAATACCCCGATCATCACGGGGTATATCCGCTTGCGGTATCAGTTGGCGCGCTATTTGACGAATGTGTTTGAGCGATTTAGTACCGAGGGGAGGAGCATTATGCGGCCCTTGTATATGGATTTTGAGCACACGGATAGGAACGTGAGTGGGCTGGTGGCGGCCAATACGAATTTCACGACCCAGTCGTATATGTTCGGGCCGCGGTTGTTGGTGAGTCCGGTGACCAGGCCGAATGTCTCGGAGTGGGAGGTCTATTTGCCTCGTACGGGGGAGAGGGGGAAGTGGACGTATTGGTGGTCGAATGAGACGTTTGCGGGGGGGGAGGTGGTTACTGTTCAGGCGCCGCGGGAGCATATCCCCTTGTTCTTCTGGGGGAGCAGGGAGGAGATTCTGAGTGGGGAGGTTTTTTAAGGGCTCGGATGGTAGAGGGGGTGGAAATGCTTTGGAGGTGGCCTGGTTCCAATGTTTGAAGCATGTGCTTCGATCTAGTATAGAGGTGCCATGGACATACAATTTCAGAAGAACGTGCCTTGAATTCATTCCGCTGCAGACCCATCAAGGACTAACGTCACCTACTTGAGAGATGATTCAATATCGTGCCCGATTACTTTGTGCTATATCAATTCGAGCGTAATGACCACTGCCTTCTGCGTAGAGAGGTCTGAAAAGCTAGTCGGACTATGAAGTTGGCGCTGCCGTTCCGGATTTATATACGTTCAATGCCCATGTGGGTAGGGTACGTGCAGTTTCAAGTCATGGGGACATGGCCACAAATGATACACCTAACTCAGGACGTTAAAATAGTCTCCCACTATCTTGACAAGGTTCATTACATTTCAACCATCTCCGGGGTGGGTGCTGTGGCTACGAAGGTTCATCTCATTCATCTCAGCCAAAATTCCTAACACAGCCCTGTGCTGGTCCCTCGAGTAATAGACATCCGAGATCAGATCGTGGTTCTATAGATAGATTGTCTCAGACACCCCGCTACAGTTGGAAGACTGGCAACTACGGCATGACTTTCTGTGGGCCCCAATTGCATTGATGTTATGTTCTGTAGGGCCGTCCGGCCTGCTGCCTCAGGCCACTATCCACGATGAAACAGAATGTTTCTTCCATTCTGCTTGGCAGCATGAGCAACCAGCATGGGCCATGCAGGCAGTGGATTCATGTGAGCTTGGCTTAGGGCCCTCATGGATACGCTACCATAAACTAAAAATATACAGTGCCAATCGAGTTGCATCTCGGTGATGCCAATGTTCCAGCCTTGACCCACTAGCCCCAACAGAGCAGGAATTACGAAATACGACTGAGGATCGATCAACAGCTTCAATTTCGACACCACATCCTCTGCTGGCCTCGGTACAAAAGGTCTGTAGGACCGTCTGCTTTCGTCGCTGATGTCCAACCTCAATTTTATCATCCCACATCACCACTACTCCATCCATCATCATGCAAGGCTGGACGGCGTACGCATATGATCCCTCCATGGGAGGGGCGGTAATCATGGTCCTGCTGTTCCTGATAGCCACGTTGATCTTCATCTACCAGCTCATCCGCACCCGGGCCTGGTTGACGCTTGCCGCCTTGATCGGGGCACTCTGTAAGTTGCAGCTGCCACGATGACCGATCGGACGCTGATGATTCTTCTCCTTCTATAGTCGAAGTCGTCGGATACTGCGGTCGCGCCATGTCCGCCCATCAGTCCCCGGACTGGACCCTCGGTCCCTACATCATCCAGAGCACACTGCTGCTGGTCGCCCCGGCCCTTTTTGCTGCTACCATCTACATGATCCTGGGTCGCATTATCCTCCTGGTCCGCGGCGAGCACCACTCCATCATCCGCCTGAAGTTCCTGACCAAGATCTTCGTGGTGGGCGACATTCTCTCTTTCCTGATGCAAGCCTCAGGTAGGAGCTCTCTGCCCGTACAACCCTTCATATTGCCCTAACGATCAACAGGCGCCGGCCTGATGGTCAAGGCCGCCTCCGCGACGGACCACACGGGCGAGAACGTGATCATCGGGGGCCTCGTCGTGCAGATCCTCTTCTTCTGCTTCTTCATCACGGTGGCGGTCATCTTCCAGCGGCGCATCTACCGCCACCCCACGGTGCGGTCGGAGTCGCCGCAGATCCCGTGGCGCAAGCACTTCTTCTCGCTGTACGCGATGAGCTTCCTGATCCTGATCCGGTCGATCGTGCGGTTCATCGAGTACATCCAGGGCCAGCAGGGGTACGTGATCACGCACGAGGCGTTTATCTACGTCTTCGACGCGGTGCCGATGTTTCTGGTGCTGTGTATTCTCATTGTGGTCCACCCGAGTGAGATTAATGGACTGCTGGGCAAGTCGCGGGTGGCGGCGGTGGGGAATGGGTTGCGATTCAAGGATGTGACGCCGGCTCTGTGATTTTTTTTGGGGTCTGAGGGAGTTGACTAGACTACAGACAGCACTGTTACAGATTCCATACAATTTCAAATTGTTTCCACCGAACAAGAACCCGAACAGGCAATGAATACGCATCCGAGATGGAGGGAAGGGGGGGGGTGGGGCAGGCCTAAGCTTCAAGTGGGTATGAGTACGGATACGAAGTGGAGCCCTACTTTCTTTCTCCCTTTCTTTTCTTGCTTTTTTCCTGTAACTTACCATCTTCGACGGATTTATCTAGTATCACTACTAGGTACAGTCCATAAGTCATGTACCGGATACTCCAATCACCGTGAAGGCCTTCAAGACAAGACACACCTCGGCTCGATCCTCCCACTTCGCCCCCACGACTCTACTTTATCTCTGCTTCTGTTTCTGCTTCTGCTTCTACTTCTACTTCTACTTCTACTTCTACTTCTACTTCTCCCAAATCTCCCAAATGTAAACCCCTCCGTATCCTCAGGACATCCGTCCGACCATGTCTATCCTCACCATCCTATGCCTCGCGCTTGTGCTCTCAGCCAGCTACACCCTCGCCCGAATCTACACCACCTACCGCCCCCTCCGCGACAGCCCACTACCAGTCCTCATCGTCGCGACCTCCCTCCCCCACCCACTTCGGGGTTTACTGAGCCTCATCGACCACAACTCCCGCCTCGCCCTCTTCTTCCAACGCGACCGCTTCAGCCACCACTCCTGGAACTTCCGCGACAAATTCGCCCTGCACGCGCGCTACGGCCGGTCCTTCTTCCTGGTGACACCCGGAGGCCGGGAGTTCATCACCGCGGACCGCCCCGTCGCAGACCAGATCCTCGTGCGGCGGAGGGCGTTCCCCAAACCGTTAGGGCTGCTTGGTACTGCCCTTCCTCCCCTACCCACATGAACACGAAATGGCTGACAAGGAGAATGTAGACCAGTTAGAGCTGTTCGGACCGCATCTCGCTTCGGTACGCCCCCTGCTCCGCTCACATCACTCTATCCCGTGCGGTGGTTCCGATTGCTAATCAAGACGGGTGTGGGTGCAGGTCGAAGACACCACCTGGCAGCGCCACCGCCGCATCACCGCCAGCGCCTTCACCGCGTCCACCGACCAGGCCGTCTGGGCCGTCTCCCTCGCCCGCGCGGCGCAGCTGGTCGCCACCACCACCACCAACACCACCACCACCACCAGCACAAGCACATTCCCCGACCTCGCCGACGCCAGCCTCGACGTGCTGCTACACGTCTGCCTCCCCACTACCACCCCCTCGGACCCGACCTTCAGCCCGCAGGAGTGCAAACCCGCCCTCCTCCGCTTCCTGGGCATCCTCACCGCCCCGACGGGGTGGAGCCTCCTCCCCTGGCGCCGCAGTCAGGGCTCGCCGGGTCTGTGGGCCGGGGCGCGCGAGCTCGGGGAGAGTATCGCGCAGCTGGTGGAGTACCGTCGCCACCGTCTGGATGGGACCCTGAAAAGGTGGCATGGGGATCTGCTCTCGACGTTGCTGCGGTGCGAGGGCCGGGCTGGCAGCGGCAACGGCAACGGTAGCAGGGATTATCTGTCCCCGGACGAGATCCGGGGCAATGTGTTTTTGTTTCTGTTTGCCGGGCACGAGACCACTGCTAATACGTTGCTGTATGCCGTGTATCTCTTGGCGATCTTTCCGGGGTGGCAGGAGTGGGTGGGGCAGGAGATGGATTTCTTGCTGAAGGGCGTGGGAGGGGAGGAGGAGCCCGGGTTTGAGGTGTTGGAGGGGCTGAGGAGGCTGAGGGCTGTTCTGGTGGGTTTCCCCTTTCTTTTGTCTGGTGGTGCTGATGGCTGATTGTGGTAGATGGAGACGCTGAGGCTATATGGCCCGGTTGTGAATGTGCTGCGCGAGACGCGCGAGCAGGACCAGATGGTTAAGGCGGAGACTCCGTTCGTCGTTCCGGAGGATACCTCCATCCGGGTCAATAGTGTGGCGCTGCATACGGATCCTGGGACTTGGGGATGTGATGCCGCGGAGTGGAGGCCGTCGCGGTGGGTGGCTGGGTCGTCAACCGGACAGCCCGGAGAGGATTTGTACGACGCGGAGATGGAGCAGAAGCTCATCGCTTGGTCCGAGGGGCCGCGAGTCTGTCCTGGCAAGCGGTTCTCCCAGATTGAGATCCTGGCGGTGCTGCTGCAGCTGTTCCGACGGCATAGAGTCGAGATTGTGCCTGAGCCCGGGGAGACAGTCGACGAGGCACGGCAGAGGGCTTATGCGCGGGTGCAGCAGAGCACAATGAGTTTGACGCTGCATATTCCCCAGCCGGAGAAGGTGTGTTTACGGTGGGAGCGGCGGAGAGATAGTAATCTTGCTTAATCTAGACTAAGTGAAACAGCGTGCTTGATTCATTGACCTGCATTACTCTCGGACTAAGCCTGCAAACTAGCGATGGGCTTGGTAGTCAATCGCGCCTCAAACGGGCATCTAAACGAGTACGAGACCCGAATACGACATCCCAGCCTCCAACGATACACTCTATATTCGAGCAGATACATCCACTATATAAGCATTCAAGCCTATCGCCAACATCCCCACAACGTGGTCCCAAGCATGCCGACCTACCTCCTCTACCAGTATGCCCCCTCTCTCCCCGCCGCCATTGCGGCGACGGTCTGCTTCGGCCTCCTCACCACCAGCCATGCCATCCACTACTGCGCCCAGCGCACCTGGTTCTTCACCCCGTTCATCATCGGGGGGATCTGTACGTAGCTGAGGCCCCCTCACTCACCCAATTTGTGACCCCACGGCTCAGCACACTGATCCCAACCCAGTCGAAACAACCGGCTACATCGGCCGCATCATCAACAGCACCCAAACCCCGAACTGGACCACCGCCCCGTATATCATGCAATCCCTGCTGCTGCTCGTCGCCCCCTCCCTCTTCGCCGCCTCCATCTACATGGTCCTGGCGCGCATCATCCGCCTCACCGACGGGGACACTCGCTCCGTCCTGCCGGCCCACTGGATCACCCGCGTGTTCGTCGTAGGCGATGTCCTTGCTTTCCTGGCGCAGGCGGGAGGTGGGTTCTTCTCTTTCCCCTTCCCCTCCCCCCTTTTCTGTCATGATCGCTCATAAACTCGTAGGCGGGGGCCTTCTGGCCAAGTCCAATTCACCAACCACCACCCGAACAGCCAACTGGATCGTCATCGCCGGCCTGGGCATCCAGGTCGTCTTCTTCGCGGCCTTCATCCTCGTCTCGGCGGTGTTCCATCGCCGCATGCAGAGCCACCCCACGCGACGCGCGCGGAGGACCCGGGTGCCGTGGAGTGGGTTTCTGTGGGTGCTGTACCTCGCCAACGGGCTGGTTCTGGGGAGGTCGGTGTTTCGCGTGGTCGAGTTCGCGATGGGCAGGGATGGGGTTCTTCAACGGCGCGAGGTGTGGTTGTATGTGTTTGATGGGGCGGTGATGGCGTTGGTGATGCTGGTTTTGTTGATGTGGCATCCGAGTCGGTT